AAAACCAGCTTTTGCCAACGATTTCGCCCGCCTGAAATTAAAGTAACAGGTCATTAAGTACTCATTATGATTAGTAGATTCAAAATTATTTTAGTAATTTTTTTAAATTAAATCTACAAATCACAAAACAACACACATTTTTATCCTATTCCATTCACAAAGTATTTTAATTGTCTAAATAAAAAAAAAATACAATCACACAACTAGATAGAAATTCTAAGTACAGATGTAATTTTATTAGAATGGGTACTGTAGGTAAGCAGCCCTATCGCATGTTGTCATACCGTGACGTACCGCGGGGCTGTTGACATTTTTTTCAAAAATATGGCCGAGTTGGAATACTGTATAGATAGTATTACCGTGACGCGAGGGGTGACATTGACATATTATGACGTGACAGAGCATATAGATGAACTACACTGAACTGTCCATTATTTGACACTGACAGAGGGGCCACCGTCAATAGCTGATCGCTAGTTCCGACTTTTGCCACGGTGGAAACCATATAGTTGCACATAATGGTGGCGCCCTTTTGTCAATGTCGTCGGTGGGACATTTCAGTGTAGTTCATCTATAAAAATCTGAAGCTTATCTGAAGTCTCGTTGACGTTTGACGTCTCACACCCTCCCGTGCCGCTCCCATACCTCAGGCACTGACTGATTTAAGCGCTAGACTTATTACAGTGACTAGCGGCCGCCCGCGACTTCGTACGCGTGGATCCCGTTTTACCCCCTTCATCTATCTATCTTACGCGGTTTAGATAGATTTTTTCATACAAATGTTTTTTCCCGCTAACTCCCGTTCCCGTGAGAATTTTGCAATATCCTGTTGTAACTAAGCTTTATATTTACTAAGGTACCTGCATGCCAAATTTCAAGCGTCTATCTTACGTGGCTTAGATTTTTTCATACAAATGATTTTTCTCGCTAATTCCCGTTCCCGTAGGAATTTTGCAATATCCTGTTATAACTAAGCTATAAGTTTACTAAGGTACCAGCTTGCCAAATTTCAAGCGTCTAACTTAAGCGGTTTAGATTTTTCATACAAAAGGATTTTCCCGCTAATGCCCGTTCCCGTGGGAATTCCTAAGTATCCTATAACCTGCACAGGAGTGTGAAGAATAATTGTACCAAGTTTCGTTAAAATCCGTCGAATAGTTTTTGTTTCTATAAGGAACATACAGACAGACAGACAGACAGACAAAGTTTCGTTAAAATCCGTCGAATAGTTTTTGTTTCTATAAGGAACATACAGACAGACAGACAGACAGACAAAAATTTTACTGATTGCATTTTTGGCATCAGTATCGATCACTAATCACCCCCTGATAGTTATTTTGAAAATATATTTCATGTACAGAATTGACCTCTCTACAGATTTATTATAAGTATAGATGATTATGCAACGGTCATTCATTAGGACGTCAGCACATTCATCGCAATAAAACTGAGAGGTGCGATATTAAATATTGCCTAATTATATTTAGATAGCTAAAGTCTTTGCATTCTAGTTCATAAAATGATCTTCATAAAAATAACTAATTGACAACTTTTAGTTTAATAAAATAGATCCGTAAAATTAGTATTCATGGTTAAATAGGCGCATTTTTATTGCGCATAAACGTCACACTCCTTTCAAAAACCAGTTTAGCTATACGGATGTCTTAATTTACTTTGCAAATTGGTTGCGTGTAAATAAACAATAAAGGTGAAGAGTTTTTGAAATTAAAGTCTAATTTAGTTATGACGCAAATAAGTAATTAATGCTCGTTTTCACCATCAATCCCTAATTAAGTGACCCCTATGGTAACACATAACAGGAATTTTGTTTTCATAGGGGTCACTTAAAAATTATGAAAACGGGCATAAGTCTACCCCTGAAACCACGCTAAAATTTTGCAGATACTTAGGGCAAAATTTTAGCCGGGAAAGTAGTATTCATGAGCTAGGAATTGTATTATAATCTAAAACCAAATAAAGATGTTCTTGCTTACTAACTTTAAATCCCTATAATATTCCTTTAATATCCACATTTGATTAATACTTAACTAAAAATGGTTGTTGATATTTTGACTCTACTTTTAGTTTTTGCTTACTAAAATAACAAGATCTAGGTGATATCTATAATAAACCGGTAAAAGATATTAAAACAAGTAATTGAGATTACTAATTTATGCAAAAATCAATCTCATTTTACCAATTTGAAGACAACGAAAATATTTAGTTCAGGTATTTTTTCGTATTCCTAACGGCTATTTGAAGGTTTTTAAGCAATGAAAGTACATTTCCACTAATTTCCTTTAGTTTATGACCCATTTAACTACGGAAGGGTAATTTTACGAATGCGCACCGCACAATACTTATTTACAACTAGCGGCCGCCCGCGACTTCGTACGCGTGGATCCCGTTTTACCCCCTTCATCTATCTTACGCGGTTTAGATTTTTTCATACAAATGTTTTTTTCCGCTAACTCCCGTTCCCGTGGGAATTTCGCAATATCCTGTTGTAACTAAGCTTCAAGTTTACTAAGGTACCTGCATGCCAAATTTCAAGCGTCTAACTTAAGCGGTTTAGATTTTTCATACAAATGTTTTTTCCCACTAACTCCCGTTCCCGTGGGAATTTTGCAATATCCTGTTGTAACTAAGCTTTAAGTTTACTAAGGTACCTGCATGCCGAATTTCAAGCGTCTAACTTAAGCGGTTCAGACTTTTCATACAAAACGATTTTCCCGCTAATTCCCATTCCCGTGGGAATTCCTAAGTATCCTATAACCTGCCCAGGAGTATGAAGAATAATTGTACCAAGTTTCGTTAAAATCCGTCGAGTAGTTTTTGTTTCTATAAGGAACATACAGACAGACAGACAGACAGACAGACAGACAGACAGACAGACAGACAAAAATTTTACTGATTGCATTTTTGGCATCAGTATCGATCACTAATCACCCCCTGATAGTTATTTTGAAAATATATTTAATGTACAGAATTGACCTCTCTACAGATTTATTATAAGTATAGAAGAAGATAGATTAACCTAGACATTATCGTTTAAAATCAATTGTACAATTAGTAATTGTTTTGTTTTGTAGTTTAGTAGAGTTCCGTTTTTCTTACACACATATTTTATGTAAGTGTAATAAGAACGTACTAACTGTGTCATAGTCAAGGAGTTTGATACCAGCCGGGCCAGGATGCACGCCGTGATAAAATCTTATCGATTATTTTAGACGACAAATGTATGGGCTTATCGCGTAAAATCGATAAAATGGCGTGATAAACGCTTATCGCGGCGCTCATCCTAGGTCTACATATTTTAAATGGTATTTACCAAAATATGTATGGACTTGAAAGAAGATGTCCTTAACCGCTCAGAATTCTCTGCCGATATAGAGATGTACCTAGTTGCTCTTAATAATGAATAAAAACATTGAACTGCATCGATTCGGCATTTATATCGCTACATAATCGCATAATGTATCGATACATTCACGCTATTTCAAAATTTCTTTCTTAGAAATAATGATACAGCAACAGCGAGAGTGATCAAAACTGTTTCAATTAAACCGCTAGAGAATGTAGATCAAATAATCTAACCAAACCTTATAATTTTTGAGTACATAATGTATTACTCTTCCATCGATAAGTACCTATAACGTACTTGCATCGAAACTCATTCGATACTACTATCGGAACTACCATTAGACGTTAGAAACTGTATCAAGACTCAATTTGTCTCGCTATTAAAGTAGAACGAGTGTGTAAAGATAATCGGTTTTCTACAGGCTACACTTCGGAGAATGTGCGAAAGAATTACATGAATTAATTCCACCAGCCCCCTTCCATCATCGGGGAACCAGACGCAGGTTAGCGTACCATCCCTATATTGTTGACATTCCACCAGCTTCGATGACTCTTTTATAATGCGAACAGCTAGGGACTGGAATTCGCTGCCTGCTGCTGTCTTTCCCGAAAACTATAATCCGGGCCTTTTCAAGGCGAGAGTGAATAGGCACTTACAGGGCAGATATGTACCATCCTAGACCGCATCCCACTTAACATCAGGTGCGATTGTGGTCAAATACCTGCCTTGTTGCATAAAAAAAAAAACGACTTTATATCGCCTCAATGTAGCAACCGGATAGCTTTAGAAACGCTAGTCGAGGTGTGTAAAAACCCTTAGGTTTCTATTAATCCTTCAAGACCCGCGAATCTAGACACAATAGATAATCAATTGTTATGGCATTAATATATGCCGTCTGGGACTTTAAAGGTTAAACAATTTTGTCTCTTATAATATCTGTGATGTTTAACTTGCTAACCTTAAAGAATCCTTCAAATGCCTAAACTAAATACTTACTATAAGGAAGCTTCAGTGTTTCTGTCACTGTAACCATCATCGCATAATGGTCCACTAGACTTCTTTCCGTAGTTACATAAAACCGGCGGTATGGTTCCGTATGAATCTAAACTTGTTTGCTTTTATCATTAAAGATTCATATAAACATTTCGTTTAACACATAATATCTAAACAAGACATTAAAATGTCTTATGTTACCCAGTTGCAAAAATTATGTCCCTCCGAATGTGTTGAATTTCTATACTTTACTAATTATGAATGAGGCATTATGTAAGGATGAGGATAGTAAATATCTTAATGTAAACAATTAAAGCCTTAATAAAGCGATAGAATTAATTAACTATACGTTGCAAATTGGATTACATTATATTATTATTATTATTATTATTTTTATATTTTGTGCTTTTTCCACCTCAGCTTAAAAGCTGGAAAATTAAAGATCAGCTACGGGCATTGCCAAGGACCTGATCTATAATAAGATTAATTAAGCGTTTATATTACGATGGGCCAGCAGAAGTGGCAGGCTCATTATTGTCATTGTCCTTTTACATTTAGCGCGACTGAAAACTCAGTCTAATTACCGCGTTCGACTTTTCGGCGTCTTAAAAATAATAAGCGTAGAAATTTTAATTTCACTTACCATAATAAAATCCGTAAGTGTGCCAGCAATGCGAAATCCGAATAAAGTTGTAAATCAGATAAACAAAAACGGTTGAACAAATCCAGAATCGAGTCACGATTTATCAACACTGCACATCACTTCGGGATTCACGCGCGAATTTATTTTTCTTTTTTTATTGTCTTGCCTAGGGCGGTGAGGGATGCGTGCTGTGGTTTCGCCGGACCGTGGTCAACTGTTCTTTCTGGCGGATGAGCTGGCCACGCGTGGTAGAGCGTGCGCAGCGACGGACTTTTCTTGCGCTTGAAAACTCTTCGGCGTTTTGGTGAAAGAACGCGAATGTTTTACGATATTTATTATATATAATGTGTGTGCACTCAGAACTCTACATTTTTCAAAACAATTACACCTACCTAAAAACAACTACCTACCTAAAAATGTTGAGCTCACTGCAATGGATTTTTAAAAAATGTTGAGATTATTAATCTCTAAAGTCTTCTATTTCGGAAAATCTAAGCTTTTCAGATGTAACAAATTCAAATTATTAATCTCAATAAACACAAACTTTCATTGTGTTACCATTACCAACTTTGGAATCGGAACATACCCCGTCAACAACAAATAAACAGTAATTAGTTCAATTTACAACGTACATTGATACGAGTGATTGATTCACTCGCTACAACCTACTCAGTAATGTTACGACGATCTTAAGTCAAGTGTAGAGTACATCCATTTTATTACACATAGAGACTTTACTGGCCACTTAATCAGTGATAGAGTCTACATGGTTCTAACTTGCAAGGTACAAAGCTTTCACTCTCATCCGATACAGTTTCTACGAGAAAATTAGTTAGCGTGGGTGGTCATCAACACTGTTTACTTCAACAAGTATTAGTACTTATTCTGTACTTCAACTTATACGAGTAGCTGAAGATATTCTAGAATTTACGAACGGTCCTTTCAAATCATTTTCAAGTTGAATTGAAAGTCAGTCACGAAAAACAATAACATTTGTTCTAAAATTCCTATTGACATTTTATAAAGATAAAAATAATATTACAGATAGTTTCTCTACATTTGTAGTAAGGTTTCATTATTATTGGTTTTCGCTCCAATATTTTGGTATGCACACAATGTCCAATATTACTTTCATATTTAATTCCCAAGGTATAACATACATATCAAAGAATATATTATCTCAAATATAGGCAAAGCCTAATATAGGAACTACTTTTACTTTATTTGAATATGTAATAGAAGGTAAATCAAAGTACTTACCCACTCTATCATTAGTTAATATGGAGAGCTCTATGGGTAATAATGACTGTGACTTATGAATAAGACGGAATGCCTCTCGCATTGCTCTGATAAAGTGCAGCGTAAAAACATTGTACCTTTTAAAAAAGTCATTTCTAAAGTTTTCACCACACTGTCGTTTACATCCAGGAGAATTTTCTTGCTTTTTGTAACCGTACTTTATGCTAACGCCATTAAATATAAAATTGTGAAATGTTTTGTTATATTACCGAATAAAGTATTCTAGTATCCCTAACAAATCCTTAAGGAATGCGTGTAATTATAAAATATAGTAATATCTTAATACCTACTTTTATGGCATAAAGTGAACCAAATCACGCGCAGAACTTGCCTAGACTTGTGTGCTTACAACTACTATACACTAAACAGGTTGTTAACGAAAAAGTTTTGTGTAACCCAGAATAAAGAGGTGTCAAGCACAGAGGCGCGTGCGCCGCTATCTCCGCAAATATCCGCGGACACAGCGCGCTGTTCTCAACTGTAGTACGCTGCCAAAGAATATTTGGGTGCAGAAGGGAATGTGGGTAAAATTGTCTACGAAGTAATAAGTACCATAAGTACTGCGTGTTGCAGTCGGGAATCTTATAGAGTTCATTTTCACATAGGTCAGCAGAAAATGGTAAAAAATACTAAATCGTTTGTTTTGTTATTCCAATTACATATCAGACGCAACAGGCATTGAAAGTTTAAATAAAATGTTCTAATTTGAATCGGCGAGCGGTCGATACGAAATACATATTAGCAGTACTATCGGGGACTCGAACGCCTTGACACCTTAAGGGCCTAAATTGTTTGCACACACACGCTCGATTTTGCTCCGCCCCGTTCATTCATGTTTCGGGTCTAAGCAGCGTCGGCGCACCACTGCAGATGTTTGCCCTTGCAAACCANTTAGAGACGGGGTGAGCACGTGACCGGAGCGATGCGCTTACGCTAAAATTTCTACAAAGTGGTCAGGCGGAAGAGTCCCCGATAGTACCTACCTATTTAAATGTTTTGACAGTTTTGGGTCAGACTGCACTTGATTAAATCCAACTAAGTACGGGCTATATTTCACAAATTGTAATCGAGTAAAGGGACATCTCTTTTCCTGCTGCCTATTGGCGAGAATCACTATACCTAAAAGTTTTAAATAGTTCATGCTTACACATAAATTAACATGTAAAAAATTAAAATAAGTTTCTTCCTATCGCAATCTTTAACCCCTCTGCGCTTCTTAATCTCTGCAATAATAACTGACACGAACACGGACACCCGATCGCATTATCCGTTATACGGTTATTAACGACTAGCTCTTCGTACAAACTGTTCAATATTGTAAATATTCCATTATTCTTATAACAACCGCTATAGAGTTCAAATTCGCACAGACATTATTCAAAATCGCTAGGCTCGAATAACTATATGAGCGAGACAGGCTATAATTAAGTTTCTAACTAGATCGCTGCAATCTTATTGATATGTGCTTTTATTACTTCTCGCTATAATAAATCTTTGGCTACAAGAATTGATGATTATTACGAAGTGAAGTGATAATTATAGTTGAGCGAAAGCATAAAAACACTGAATAAACTTGAACTTCGGTCGTTGTATGGTATTTTCGCAACCGGAGTGTTGACTTTAAAGTTAAGTTTCAAATGGTCGATTTCAGTGTCAGTTTCGTTTCAGATATCTTTCTCAATTAATGCTATATGCTTATTAAATACGAAAGTAAACTATATCTGCCTGTAAAACTATATTTTTCTCAAAGTAGCGCATGCAGAAAGTGACTGAGTTCTAGTGAAAGATTTTTTAAAATCAGTTAAGAAGCTCTACACTTTTAAATATTATTTTCTTCAAACAAAACCACCAACAACTTTACCTATTCATAGACATAATTATCATAGTAATTTGTCAGGACAGTTGGTACCTACATTTTTTAGATTAATAGATTTCAGAGGACTTTGACATGACAAATATGAACAAACGCGTTGAATAAACTACACTGCCTGTGTATCACAGAAAACAGTGCACGTATATTCCTTGAAAAAGCTTAGACCAGGCGCGTTATATGCGATGTAGCGCGACGCAGCGTGGCGGAGCGTGATGTCATTTTAAAGTACGCCGTCCGTCTCGCCTCACCGGACTTACATTGCTGATTGATAGCTGGTTAGCTAGACGGACATTTCATCCGGGTGCAGAGAGACTAGGTACTAGCCGATTAACGTAAGATCTCTATTTATCACTGGGCAGGCAGTTCTAAGCAAAAATATTGATCACAAAGGATGAGATAGCAACCCCTAACTGATATAAATAAGTACTTGAACTGTAAATTCGATTCCCTTATTGACTTTTGTGTACCTACTTAATGACGTCAAAAGTAGGTTATTAGATTTTCAGGGCAAGTGTTATTTATATTTATTACTAAGTTAAGTGATAACTAATATCTATCTTGTACTTCACATCTACGCCTTTTATTTTAACAAATAATTGAATAGCAAAAATGTGTATAAAAAGGTATCACAATAAATCACTTCGTTATACAATTTTCTTATAAAGTACATAATTATATTGTAATATTTTTGTATCAACTTACCACATAAGTAACTTGTAAGTATGCAATTTTCTTCATTTTGTGCAAATGCTCGCTTTCAACATAGTTTAATGTTTATTTTACCGTTACCTAATTTCATATGTTAACATTGCAACTCTATGTATGAAATATTTCCTAGAATTCGTGTGCTTGACATTTAACGAGTAGAAAAAATCTATGCACTAGATGTTTGAGGTCCCACTCAACTATAAAATATAGTCAAAACAACGAGAAAGTAATATTATTTGGTCTAAATAAGAAAATTTAATTGCAGACTTGAGTTTAAACTGAGTTTTTAACTTCGTTTCCACAGTTTCAGAACAAGTTTCAGTATCATATAATATTTAATCAAAGCATCAATACTTTAAAAGTAATTAATATTGATAACAAAAATATTATAAAAATCAATCAAAAATTACAATCATTTCGCTTCAAAATTGACAAATCTAATTTCCCTAATTGGTATTCGAACCCGTGACCTTTGGTTTTGTAGTCTGAATCAACCACTAGACACATGTACCCGCCATTCATAAATTAACAAGAAAAGCAATACTATTTTCTCTCTTACGTCTTGTGCTTTAATATCTTTGTTTTTTCTATCTGTGCCTTTTCACTTTTATTAGTAGATACAGTGGGTTTATAGTGCGCTTCGTGATAGAATCTTATCAATTATTTTGGATGGTAAATGTATAGACTTATCACGTTAAATCGATAAAATCGTGCGGTTGCACCGTTTCGCGGCGCGCATTCTAGACCCACAGTCCTCTTGTGGATAACGGTGTTGGTTGTATAATTACTTCAATGTTTACATAAGGTTTTAATTGTATTTTTTATTGTACAACTGTTTGTTTTCCTTAATAAAATAAAAAAATTAAAATATTTATTGATTTTCCAACAAAACCTATCGTCATCTCGTGGCATTTTATGGTACTAAATTACAGCTTGAAACATACCTGCTGTATGTAACGATGCATTTTTTTACTGTAAAAAGCAGATAGGAAACTTTCTTTCCAGTATATTTTAGTTTCAACGATTTCCACGCAGACTCAACAAACTTAGCTTAGGTAATAACAAAGAAAAATCTCAAAAACTAGGCTCTGTAGCTCGTGCAGTAAAACAGTTTTCTTCTATGATGTGTGTACGTAACAACTGAGGTATACAAGCCTAGTGTCGGAATTATTGAGCTTATTATTATCTACGAAGACGTCTACAATGGTTCCATATTATGTTTCCATAGAACCATTTTCCAGACAAACTAGTCAAAAGCCTGTAATGTCCGATATCCTAACTAGACGAAAAAAAGAAATATGGAAAAAATATATATTT